TCTTTTCCTCCTTTGTCTTGGTGCCCTTTTTCTCATCCTTCTTCTCATCTTTCTTTACGTGGTCCTTGCTCGAACCGGCACCGCTTTCACCTTTCTTTTCATCTTCTTTTCCTTTATCATCCTTCTTCTTCTCAAAGTCATCATCAATCTTGATAACCTTTTCTTCAGGCTTTTTCTTCTTCACAACTTGCTCTTGACCCCAACTTGGATTGGGTTGTCTTTTCTTAGCCTTTCGTGCATCATAATCCTTTGAATCCTTTACCTCTTCCTTCCACCAGCAGGTGTCGGGAGAGTGTGCTCCCCATCCCGTCAGTCTCTGACGGGCAACTTCCAGGGGGAGGCCCTGTATGTATACCTGACGCACATAGCAATTTCTATACCACATGTGTCTTGGTTTAGCGCGGTCGCGTTCATCCGGCAAAAAGCCGCACTCTTTCTCTGCGTCAGCCAGCATATCTTTGCAATAAGCACTCTTGTGTCCGCGCCGTTTGCAATAAAAGCAAACTGCTGGTGACTCATTTCGCCACCATGGCGTTTCGCCTTCTTGCTTGCTTGGCGTGCCCGTTGGCTCGGCAGGTCTTTCGCTGCCCTTTGCTGCTGCTGTAAACTTGTCATCGAGTCTTTTCTTTAACTCTTTAACCTTCCGGGTAGCATCTTCATCTTTACTCTCCTTTTCAGCTACCTTTGCCTCAGCGATTGGCCTTGGCATCTTCGTCTCTTGGATAATCCTCTTTTCATCTTTCTTCTCACCTTTTTCATCTTTGATCTCGCCTCCTTTCTTCGGAGTTCCGGCGCTCGCTGTGCTTCTTCCTCCCGGCGTACCAGCCGCCGATGTTGCTTCACCTGCTCCTTTCTTCTTTTTAGCCATTCTAAGCACTTCAGCGAAGCTTTTGCGTTTCCGTTCCAGACTTTCGTCTGGCAATGTTCTCAGGGGTTCCAGGCGCGGAAATGCCTTCAACAGTTCACCGACACACACACCTGGGCGTTACCGACTATCTCCGCAAATGCCTCTACGCACTGCTTTGACTGCATCACCTGGTCCACGTGCGTTTTCGAGTCTTCCAACTCATCTTTCAAACTTTCCATCTCTTGATTCCTTGCTTCGAGCTTCTGCTCCATCTCCTTCTGGAGCTCCATCAGGTAGCTGTCGTAATCAGCTTCCATTGCTTTTAGCTCTCTTTCAGCACGAACTTCATCTTCTCCCAGTACCGTCAACGATTCTTCGTGCTCTTGAGCTACATCAGCTATAGCTTCTCTTTCAAACTGCTTAACTTGATCAGATATCCGGCTGGCAAGTTAGCAATGGGTCTCGTCACGACCTCGCGAAGCACGATGAACTCCCTTACGAGGGGTTCTGTAGGAAATCCTTCCTCAACCACTTTTATATTCATCTTCTCCGACACGGCTTCCCACATTGAATCTGCTGCTGGATCGAAACCCTGCTTCAGATCAAGTACGCTTGCTCCTCAGATCTCTCCTTCGTTATCCTGCTTCATCTCAACATCGGTACCCTTGGTCTCTGTCGCTTGACCATTTTCTGCTTCCTTAACCTCTATGGTCTCCTCGTTGCTTGCTCTTTTTCTGCTTCCTCAGCCTTTGTGGTATCCTCGGCCTTCTCCTTTTCTTCACCAGCTTCATCTTCCTTCGAAGTAACTTCTCTGGCCGCTTCCACCACTGCTTTCCTTCTTTCGCTCGCAGCTTCTCCTTTCTGCTTAAGCTCCTCAACTTTTCCCACCATTCTGGCTGCTTGCTCAGCCTCCTCTTTGAGTTCATCTCCGGTCTTCTTTAACTCCGGCGGTACTTCAACTTCCTTCTTTTCAACTTCTTCTTCTTTCTTTTCTCCTTCTCTTTTCTTCTCGTCACCGCTTGAGCTTTCATCGTCTTCTCTTTTCTCCTCGCTTTCACTATCTTCCGACTCTGTGCCGGCCTCGCTTTCTTCTTTCTTTGCTTCATCATTCTCAGCAGTTTCATCCCACGGGGGTGTTTTAGCGTCTTCTCTTGTCAAGTTCAACTTCTGCACTTCCTGCCATATTCGCTCTATGCTGTCGCGGTCCTCGCGCTTCCTCTTTAACTGTTTCTCGCAGTAAGTCACAGCTAAGATGCTCCTGCATTCATCGTGGATCATCACTTTAACCGCTTCATCGTCCGCCATTGCTTTTTCTCCCTTTTCTGTTTTCCTTTTTACCTTTTTTCTTCCTTTCTTCAGCTCTTTCCTAGAGCTTGATCTGTAAATGGCCGCGGACATGCACATAACATCCATAACAACCATGCTCATGCAACACATGACACTCAACTTCAGTCCTTGTGCACTTTCTTCTTCTCCTTGTTCTTCCTTGGCCTCGCATAAGCTCATCAGCACTCCAGTCGTAACCGCTTGAATAATCCTCGTAATCATCTTCTCATCAAACTTCATCATCTTTCCTCTCTTTGCACTTGTTCTTCTCACCAGATCATCCTGCACTTTTTGCACTTCGTCATCGAGAAGTTCACCTACATAGCCCAGTATAACCATGTATTTCCTTATTTTGTCGAGCGATAGGGATTTGGTCCCTAGGTCCGAGGGGTTGCTTTTACCCGCTATCGCCTCTATGATAAGCTTCGGGATGTGTTGTATCCAGGGGAGGTCTACGTCTAAATGACGCGCCTGGCCTAAACCTTTTCTCGAAATAAGCTGCCTTGAGCTTGACGAATCTGAAAATAACACAAGTTTAGGCTCAACTCCTAAGATCCTTTCCAGCGATCCTTTCAAGAACACTGCTTCAAACAATACAGAAGTCGCTGCAATTGTCTCAGCTTCACACGAACTTAGCGCAATGCTCTTCTGTCTCTTGCTTTGAAAATGAATCAAATTTCCATTCAGCATGATCGCTCCACATGAAACGCTTTGCCTTGTCTCTCGATCTGCTGCCCAGTCAGAGCACGGTAGTTTCTTTGGATTAGCATTCTGAAGTTCCAACACTTCTAGTAATCCTTCAACATACTTCGTGTTCATCATGATCTCAACATCACCGTTGTTGCTTGACTTGAAACTTCTCTTTAGAAAACTCATAGATCCTTTTCCCTCATCCATCGGTCCTTCAACCTTGATCTTCAATCCTTTGCTTCTGAGGAATTCCACCAATTTATTGAATGTCATCAACATCAGTCAACACTACAATCCCGTGACCATTCTTTTCGGCATTCTCGCGAATAGTGCTGGTAATCCTGGGTCCGTTTTGTAACCCGTACTCCTGTAGATAACTCTTCGGTTTGTTAAACCAGGCACTGCTGCCGATTCGCTGTCCAGGTAGCGTGAACCCTAGTTCATAAAATTCGCCATCTAGTTCAACAATCGTTGGCTCCTCTTGCTCCACCATAAGATAGGCGTCACCAACATCAATGCTTCCCAACGTGTATCCTTCAGATGACGTAAACAAGGCTGAAAGTAGCTTCACCGTGCTTTCTACACCCGTTGGCGAAAATAAACTTGCAATATCCGTGTCACCTAGCCATCGAAACTCTCGGGCTACTAGTCTTCCTCTTCTTCGCCACTCTTTGTCCCTGTGTCTCCAATCGTACACTACCTTCGTAGACAGAAAATTATACTTCGTCATATCTGCACCCTTTGGCAGTTTCTTCAGAACTTTCATCTCTGTCAACCTTTCGATCTCATGTTCCTAGACACACCATCTACTTTCACCAATTCTTCATCACTCAACTTTGGTGGTCCGCTGTCGAAATCATTCGACCATGTTGGCATTCCATCTGGCAGTTCATCTTCTCCATCTGATTCGTAAAACTCTTCTTCGTCAAACTCTGCCTCTACTCCTTCAAACTCATCCAGCTCTACTTCTTCATCATCATGATACTGTGGTTCTTCCTTTCTCAGGAATGACTCAATCTCTTTAACACTCCTTGAAGCCATAATTCTTCTCACACTGCTTGATGCTTCACCTTTCTGCACTTTCTCTGGTGGCTCTTGAATCTCTGTTGTTCCTTCATCCACTCTCTGTCGTACAGCTTCTGATTCTTCAGCTTGACCTTCGAGGTTACTTGTGGGTGAAGTGGGTGGTTCTTCTCCAGGAATCAACTCCTCCGACTCTTCGCTCGTCGGTGCACTTCTTTGGGGTGGTGGGGTGGTGTGGTGGTGTGGTGGTGTGGTGGTGTGGTGGTGTGGTGGTGTGGTGGTGCGGTGGTGCGGTGGTGTGGTGGTGTGGTGGTGTGGTGGTGTGGTGGTGTGGTGGTGTGGTGGTGTGGTGGTGTGGTGGTGTGGTGGTGTGGTGGTGTGGTGGTGTGGTGGTGTGGTGGTGTGGTGGTGTGGTGGTGTGGTGGTGTGGTGGTGTGGTGGTGTGGTGGTGTGGTGGTGTGGTGGTGTGGTGGTGTGGTGGTGTGGTGGTGTGGTGGTGTGGTGGTGTGGTGGTGTGGTGGTGTGGTGGTGTGGTGGTGTGGTGGTGTGGTGGTGTGGTGGTGTGGTGGTGTGGTGGTGTGGTGGTGGTGGTGGTGGGTGGTGGTGTGGTGGTGTGGTGGTGTGGTGGTGTGGTGGTGTGGTGGTGTGGTGGTGTGGTGGTGTGGTGGTGTGGTGGTGTGGTGGTGTGAGTGGTGGTGGTGTGTGGGTGTGTGTGTGTGGTGGTGTGTGCATGGACACACCACCAACACACCCACCACACATACAGACACACACACACACACTGTGAAGGTTGACAGGGACTGAAGCCCTAGCTCCCGAGTAGTTGCTTCGTAGCAGTCGTAGTGCTTCTTGCCTTGCTTTGTGTGTTGCGAGTGAAGGTGTAGTTTTGTTAACGTTTTGGCTCAAGCGTAAGCTGCAAGCTAGCGAGCCGTGTTTTGAGCGTGTGCCGTCGTGAGCAGAGAAAAGACAACGACCGTGCTGCAAGGCTGTGTCTCGACCTCACCTCTGAGTACTTACAGGGATTCGAACACCGCAGTGGGGGCGGGGCTGTTCTGGGAAGACTTGTTCCAGAAGTCGTGGAACTGAGCTGCGCTTCGCGGCTTGTTGACGACATATGGCTAGCATTGTCCAGGAAGTTAGTGGTGCAGAGGTTTCCTTTGATCAAGCAGTGGAGGATGGGATTGTCCCTAAACCACCGTTGCTTAGCTTCAATGGTTGGCAAGCCTGGAGAGCTGGGCCCGGGAAGAGGCCAGCTAAAAAGAAGGGAGACTCAGTGTCTACTTCTAGCAAAGAAGAGTCAGCTCTCTGGAAGGCTGCCATGGAAAAGTACCATGGTCCTGGTTGGCGCGAAGCCCTGGACGAACAGGAAGCAGAAGTAGCAGAACGGGAAGGTGAAGAAGAAGAAGAAGAAGAGCTGGTGGCGGATGATCCGGAACCGAGGGCGGGTAGTCCTGTGGCGGGTCCTGCGGGACAGGCCAGCAAGGAGCTTGTCGAGCGGCTAAGGACTCTGCCAGGAGCTGGGACCTTTTCGGGTGCTACTTCCCTTGCTTCGGGTGGCGGGACGGTAGTGGATCAGCTGACACGGAAGCTCACTGAACCATTCGAGCCTATGATGGAGACGCTAGACCGCCACCAGAAGCGCGTCACCAGGTGCGCTGAGGCTTTAGAGATGAGCGGGGAGTTTGTTGACGCGACGGAGAAAACGGCTTAACGCGAGGGCCGAGATCCTCGACAGTCTCAAAAGCCTTGGGCCTGAGGAACAGCTACGGCATCTCAAGATGCGTTTTGCGCAAGAGCTTGTGGATGGTGCGGAGGGTGAGGAGAAGAGAGAAGTGCGTCTCTCTACCCTTCTCACAATGGTGGAGGAACGCAGGGACAAGTTGTCTGAGAACAAAGGAAAAGCTGTTTAGCAGCTCTGAGCCTTCCCCTGCTAAGGAAGTTCCGAGACCATTGGCGTCGGAGGCCATTGGGAGTGCGGAAGTTGCAGCCGCTAAGGCTAAGCCTACGGAACCCGAGCTGCGTGGAGTCGCGAGCTCTGGGGCGGTGCCTTCCCTGAGTGGCGCTTTGGCCAACCCGTCTTCGCCCACTGGGGCAGAGAGCCTTTTGGCTTCTTTGGACCAAGGCTGTGGCGGAAGCTCTGGAGAAGAGTAAGGGGCGAAAGCAAAGACCTCGCTCTACCATCCAGATCTCTCCGAAAGTCACATGGCCCGTTTTGGATGACGACTTCACGGACCATAAGTCTGTGACTGATTTCTATGATCAGTTTGAGTCGACGGTTCATCTGGCGAATGACGGGCAGGGGATGTCGGACCTTGAAGAGTCTTGATCACTCTCCGAGCGTGTCTCCGACAACAGCGTTTGAAGTCCTACGACCTGCTGTACAAGCGAGGCCTGAGCATCGGAACTGTGAAGACGGACCCTGGGAAGGTCTATCAGGAAATCAAGTCGAAACACTTGATGTTTTCCGAGACTCAGGAGGAGCGTGAGTTGCGGGTTTTGGAGGCTTGGGACCAGTTGTCCAAGGGGCGGCTGACTGCTCACCAGTGGGAAACTGTGTGGGAGGAGCGGCTGTCCGAGCGCGAAGCTGTTGGGCTTCGAATGACAGCTCGTGAGACCATGCTTCAGTATCTTAAGAAAGTGGGCCCGGAGTTGTCGGGCGAGATCCGCCGGGACAAGAGGTACAGGAGTGATGGAGCTGGGGACACTGTCTTCCGGGCATGTGCTACCTGGGAGGAAGCTCACGAAGTGCTCAAGGAATACGAGTCTATGAAGGCAGGCTTGAAGGCGCTTCAGAACGCGAGTTTCTCGACCCCGTCCCCGGGCGCGGGGTTGACAGCGAAACAGAAGAAGTTGCTTGCTAAGGCAGAGAAGCTCGAGAAGGCCGAGAAGGAGCAGCGGCAGCTAGATGCTGTCAATGCTCAGACTCCGTCTGGTTCGGGGCAGAAGGGTTGCTTTAACATGCGAGACCATGGATCCTGCAAGCACGGGGACAAGTGTCGCTTTTCGCATGATAAGAACCAGGTGGAGGCGTCGAAGAAGGCGAAGAAGGAAGCGGAGAGAGGACGGAACACCGACGTCGGAGCTGCAGGCTCTGGTCAGCGGAGGCCGTCCAGCCAGGGTAAGGGAGCCGGGAAGGACAAGAAGTCCCTACCTTGCCGTTTCTTGAACTCGAAGAGAGGCTGCCTGAAGGGAGACAAGTGTGAGTACAGCCACAAGCAGAAGGACCAGCCTAAGAAGAAGGGCGACGGTAAAGGAAAGAAGGGCGACGGTCGTAGTACTGTCCCTGGTGTCCAGCTGTCGACCATGGATGGTCCTGCTGGCCTTGCTGAGGAAGAGGGCTTCGCCTGTGTGGAGTCCAGCATCGTCCCGAGCGAAGCTAACACCGCGGCTCCGGAGGCGAGTGGGATTTTGAAGAAGGAAGTACGCTTTGAGGACGCCGGAAAGAATCGTAAGAAGAAGGGCAAGGGCAAGGGTAAAGGCAAGGGAGACGCCGGTGCCCGTGGATCCCCCAAGCCGGAGCTTGAGGAGAAGCGCAAGGGCGCGGAGCTCAGGTTCAAGGACATCCCTGCGAACTGGTTTGTGACGAAGTCCAACGCGAGAGGCGGCTACCAGTGTCGCACGGAGGTGAGCATTTACGGGAGGTTGGTTCCTACGATGCTCGATACGTGTGCTGGGTGCAACAGTTGCACTGAAGAGATGGTGTGCGGGCTGCTGACGACGGCTATGGACGACGATCCTAACTTTCCGCTAGTGCAGCAGAAACATGGCCGCTGGAAGAAGTGGTGTGACTAGGTTGGCGAAAGACAGGCCAATCGCGCTTTGCGGAGGAGCCGTGTTGAGAGTCAAACTTCCCGACATCTCTGCGAGCAAGGGCAAGGAAATCCTGGTGCGGGCTAAAATGCTGGCAGCTGGGACGAGCTCGTGGCACGGGTTAATCCTTGGTGGACGAGCCTTGGACCACCCTGACAGAGGGGGTCTAGGGTACCGTGCGGCGCCAATGGCGCACGTCCCAGAAGGAGGGCATTCTTCTGCCAAGAAGGGAGGAGATAGAGACGTTGGAGGGCAAGGCTTACCCCTTCGTGGACAGTGTCGTGTCAACCTTCGAAGAAGCTTGGGACGGCAAGGAGTCTGGAAGGAGCTACGAGGAGGACGGTGAGGTGCTAGTGTGCACTGAGGCGTGCTCTTTCGACCGGAACACATCGGTGGCTGGGCGCGCGTGGCTCGAGCTGGGCCGCCCGCCGAGCCAACGGCCCAGGAGGAAGTTGGGTTTTCCTTGTGGTTCTCTGGAGTCCGGTTTTCGTGTTACGCCAGGGATTTGGGAGGCAACGACTCTTGGGTTTTTGTGGAAGTCGAGTCGCGTGTGGACCTGGAGTTGGGAACGCCGGTGGCTACCTTGGTGCGAAAAGGAGCCGGGGTGCAGCGCTGGCCAAGCTGTGGGCACGTGGACGAGTGCTGGTTGCCTGCGCAAGCCGCAGCGCCATGCACGTGTGGTCCTTGGCCACCTGTGGTGATGCCTGTTTGTGCACGCTGCATCCGATCCATGGCAGCATCGACGGATGCCGCCTTGACTTTCGAGCTGAAAAGCACAGCCGGAATACGAGGAAAGGGGGGGGCAGGACGGTCGCAAAAAACAGAGGCTCGCGATGGAGCCTGGAATCTCCAGCCCCTTCGGGGTGACCAAGGGGGCAGCGGTTGCCGGGATGATGGCCTGCCTGTCCGCAGCTCTCGTGGCGGATTCGGTCTTCCACGTCATCGAGACGCCTGGAGCTATCGATGAGCTTGCGGAGCGAGGGCCTACCGATGCCTACTATGCGGCTTTGAAACAGGATCTGTTGAAGAGACATCCTGATGCTGACCGGTTTCTCATAGATCGCGTGGGCGAGTTATAGAGTCGTTCTTTGATCGGAGCATGATGAGCGGAATGTCATACGGGATAGAGAAGGCCTGTCTGGCTGTGACGGAAGGGAGCCTTTTGGGGCATCGAGTGGGCAGAAACGGCCTACGAGTCCAGCCGGACAAGACCCGTGCGGTAACTGAGTTCCCACCGCTACGTGAGAAACAATTCCTTGGGTGTACCAACTTCTTGAGGTTCTACATGCCACCGCAGTACAGCCACTGCGCGAAGGTGTTGGGAGAATACGTGAAGGGTACACGCGCTTTCCCGCCTGTGGGGCTGGGGCCAGGAAAGAGTGAAGGCGACCGAGCCGTGAAAGCCATCAAGTTGATGTGCCAGCGTTCGGTGGAGCTCTCGCTGCTGGATGAAGCGGCGGCGATTGACGGCTCGAGGCCGTTAGAGCAAATCGCTGACTCGAGCGGGTATATGCGGTAGGCGGAGTGGCTCTGCAGATGAAGCCCTGCCTCACTGCTTTCTCCATCCTGGCTACGCATAGCAGAGGGCTTACCCTAGCGCAGCAAGCCTGGGCACCCCTTAGTCTGGATATGCGCAGCTTGATACGCGAAGAGCGATCAAGGGAATGATTGGGCCGGTGAGGTCCATCCTGTGGACAGACCATGCCAACCTTACGAGGCTTCAGGGCTCTGAGGAGATAGAGCCGAAACACCTGAGGTGGCTTTCCGAACTGCTTGCGGACGGTAGTCAACTTCGGTCTCTTTCAGGAAGATCCGCGAAGTTAGCGGACGGACTTTCTGGAAACCCGGAGAATCGAGACTCCTTGCTGGCGCAGAGGACACGTGACCTTGAAGGTCTCGTAGGCCAGTTGAGGGGCTTCTCCCTGTGGGAGTACCTGGATGATGAGGGCGAAGGCCGTCTGATACCTTGGTCATTCCTTTCAGATGGGGCTGAGCCGCAGCGGACGCAGCGAGAACGGCTCCTGCCGCGGCTAGGGAGGTGGGAGAAACCCCGCCCCTTGGCGCGCAGGAGGAAGCTGCTGTTTTGAGCACGTCGGTGTCGGCTGGTTTGATGAAGAGGGCAGGTGTGGCGCCGACGCTGAAGGTGCTGTACGTGCCGGGCTACTGCAGGCCTGAGGAAAGGATGATGCTGACTTCGAGCCTGATGCGCCTTTTGCGCGACTCGTTCGGGGAAAGCTGGGACGTCAAGATAGCCTTGCAGGAGCCGCCCTTCGAAGACTTCGAGGGCAACCTTGCTCACTTTGAAAAGCAGGGAAAAGCGAAGCTGACTGAAGGAAGCTCGCCAACGCGACTCGGGTCGACCTCTTCACGAGCGCTGTTAAGGTTTTGAGGGATATCGCTTTCCACCAACCGGCTTTTGTAATAGGCGAAGGCCAGGGCGGTGCTGTGGTGTCAGTCGGTGGCGGTAGAAAACGTGCTGCTTGCCCGGAACGTTCGGCCAGAGGAGGGGAGAGAAATCGCTAGGGCTTGGGGCTCTTTGAAGCTCCTGGTGGCGGATAGGCCTCGGCTGGGAACGGCGAAGCCTGGAATGGAGTTGCTCCTGGAAGCGTGTCCAGAGCTCCAAGAAGCGTGCCCTGTTGCCGACCTTCCGCTTTTGGCGGTCATTCCTCCGGGAACTCCCAAGAAAGAGGAAATTGTGGACTTTGCGACGTCCATAAGGGCTTCTGTGCTGAGAGGGCTGGACGATGTGGTGTGGTCGTCCTGGTTGGACGGCGCCAAGCGAGAGATGTGGGAGCACTCTGGCTCTTGCGTGTGCGGCAAGAGGACCATGTTGTTTGGGCAGTGTTTCCGCTGCATGCGTGAGGAGGAGAAGGAGTTGAGCCGAGCCGAAAGGGAAGGAGAGTGCGGTGCGGCTGTTATCTCGGCGTTGAAGTATACCCCGGAACGTGTCCAACCAGACCTCACGGTTAGCGGGCTCCAGGAGCTGTTTTCAGCTCCGGAGCCGCTGCCGCGGGACTTTGTGCGCCTGGCAGTGCACTGGAAGAAGGATTATACTTTGATTCTCCCGAAGCCTGCTGGGTGGCCCGCGGCGAAGTTGGTTTCAGTCTACGGACTGGAAGGAAAGGCCGTGTTGAGTCTGAAGACCTTCGTGAACCCTAAGTGGCCGATCATACTCTACTCTAGCGACTGGCGAAGGTCGGTAGGGGATGAGTTTTGGGAGGCGAACTGGGCGAGTCTGTGCCAGTGCTTGGACTCTCTTAGCGATTTCTGGAGGACCGAGGTAGCTTTGACGGCAGAGAGAGCCGTACCATGGAAGTCTCCGCCTTGGTTTTCCACTTTCTGATGCACTATTTCCCGGTTCAAGCTGTGCATTGGGAGCGATGCACGAACCGACGGAAGCCCTGCTGCAAATGTAGTCCACCGCTTCCGCAGCTTTCTTGTCCAACATGTCTCGAGAATCCGCGCAAGGCAAAAAGCAATCGTACTCGCTGTCGTCGTCCTGCACCCGGCTGGCGCCGGCTTCCCTGCAAAAACCAGCTGGAAAGGGCCAGCCAGTTGATGTTGCTGTCGATTCGATCAAAGCTCGTGTCGTGTTTGATGTTGCACCGATGCATCTGGAACTGGAGGACAGCACATGGCGCATCTTGCAGTCAGTTCTACTGAGAAAATGTCTGCCTTCGCCTCAAGTATCCAGATAGAAGCCCAATGCGATGCCATGCCGCCGCCGACGATGAGGACAAAGGTCTTTTGACGGTCAGACGGGTTCAAGACGTCAGAAGATTCAACTACGTCTGGCTCACAGCCACCAGTGTGAGGGACACCATCAGGGATTGCAGAGCCATGTTGGCTGAGCGCAGAGACTGATCGCGCTTTCGAAGTCTACAGCCACGGTTGCAGTGCTTCAGTGTCTAGTACATCGTTTCTTCCTCTTGCGTCACAGGTCTACGCAAATGTCGTCTAAAACCTCCATGCATGAAACAGAGGCTGAGCAAGAACTTTCAGCCGTCACGGCGCAGAGTCGATTTTTGTCTACTGCCCACAAGAAGTGAGTATGGCGTGAAGAAACCTTGTACAAAACCTATGCCTTGTGCTTTCGTTGTATGTAGTCAAGCCCAAGGCGAGAACCAAACCAGAACCCTGCAGCACATGACCACGACAGCAGTGAGCAGAGAGGGCCTGACTCCGATGTAGTAAATGAGAATGCTTAACCAATTGGACTTCGCTCCCTCTGAAAGCAGCATAATTATCTGAAGGGCAGGCTGCAGCATTCTTGAGCACCGGTTCAAGCAGACACCCTCGCTTCTACGATTCAATTGCCTTCTGCTTTCATGAGCTCCCTCTGAGCCTGGACCGTTGCACTGATTCACAAAGCTAGCCGGTTTCGGTGCGTGTGCTTCTGCACCCTCGTCACTGGTGGAATCTGCTGATTGTCGGATTGCACATCAGTTTGGCCCTCGCGTCTGTGCCAACGCAAGCCTCTTTGGGCTCTGGTCGAGTTCAACAGCCTATCAGCAGCAAATCTTATGGCCCTTCGAGCTGGAAGAGAACTTTCAGCGCGTCAACCAAAACATCGCCATGACAGAACACCGCAAAACAATACCGACACATAAGCAGAACTGGCAGAAGCGCACCTGAAATAACGAGGTCCAAAACAGGCCATCCACGAAGCAATTGCAGGAGACAAACCACACCCAAAGCTAAAAGCACCGAGAATGCGTTCAGCAGGATTAGCCACTCGCTCTTATAGACCTTATTGACAAGCATCGCCTCCTTCACCATGCACACGTCCCACAACAAACTGAGCACTGGAATGGTGTTCACCAGCGAGTGAGTTTTGTCAAACTGAGCATAAAGCAAGATCAGAAGTGTTGCAAAGGCTCCAATCCAAAATCCGTCTTTGCCATCGTACCTGTATGTGCAGTGCATCTCTGCCATCACCCACAGGATGCCAATAAGCACAGCTAGCCGAGGGTCAAGCTGCTCGACCCCTGCAAACACAGCCATGAAGATAACCTCTAACGAGAGCATGAGTGGACCGGCTGCAACACTTCCTACGGCCTGTGGCAGCTGCGAGAATTCCACCTTGTACTTGTCGTGCATCAGCTGGAGTATGTATAGCTGGCAGTTGTGAAAGAGAAGATCGTAGAATGATCCGTGGAGTGACACTTGCTGCGAGCGGTGGTAGAGTTGAAAGGGTGTCGTGCTTTCAATCTCGATCACTCCGCTCCTTCTCTCAGATTCAACGGCTCCTGTCATGATGTAATTGGACCCTCCCCCGTTGGTAATAAAGTTGACGATGCAGTCTCGGACACGGTCACGTTTTTCTGCCATGCAAGAATCGGCGGAAGCCCTCCTGCAAATGTAGTCCACCGCTTCCGCAGCTTTCGCAATCAGCATAGCTCGAGAATCCGTGCAAGGCAAAAAGCAATCGTACTCGCTGTCGTCGTCTTGCACCCGGCTGACGCCGGCTTCCCTAGCAAAACCAGCTGGAAAGGGCCAGCCAGTTGATGTTGCTGTCGATTCGATCAAAGCTCGTGTCGTGTTTGATGTTGCACCGATGCATCTGGAACTGGAGGACAGCAAATGGCGCATCTTGCCACGAGCCCGGCGCCACCGGTAGCCAGTCGTGTCTTCCACTGCAGTCAGTTCTACTGAGAAAATGTCTGCCTTCGCCTCAAATATCCATATAGAAGCCCAATGCGATGCTACGCCGCCGCCGACAATGAGGACGAAGGCCTTTTGACGGTCAAATGGACTCAATACCTTCGAAGATTCAACAACGTCTGGCTCACAGCCATCAGTATTTGGGACCGACCTCCCCACGGAGACCGTCAGAGGTTGCCAGGCCATGATCGTACGCCCTTCTCGCTCTCTACGAAGATCTACAATCACGGCGGTGCTTCATTCTCTGGTACGTCGTTCTTGTTGATGCATCACAGGTCTATACAAACTTCTTCTAGAACCTCCGTGCATGACCCATACATCATTTCGACGGTCCCAAGGCAATCGGGGCCCACCTTGGGATCCAATGATTTCAGAGGTCACAAGCGTAAGGTAGATTTTTGTGTCTACTGCCCACAACAAATGGGCAGGGTGCGAAAAAACCCCAACACCACTGATTTGTGCCGTCGTCAAGCCCAAGCCGAAGACCAAACCCACAATCTAGCAACACAAGCCTCTGACCTGGTTTGCAGATTCTTGACTTGTGTTTGTGTGTTGTGGAGGTGCACCCTCAATAAGCTTGAGCTTCCGTAGTGCAGTCAGATGCGGAACTCTCATTTTACTTTTACTCCTCACAGGCGAGGTGCAATGAGATGCTTCAATAATGCGAACGACTGGCCCGGATGCCAATATGCCTTCGAGAAGCTCAGCTTCCCAGCGTCCGGGGTTCATCTGACATTGTTACTTCTGTGTGCTGTGTCCGGCAGGAGCCTGCTTCAGATGAGCTGGCGGCCGCGGGAAGTCTTGCGCCGCCACGAGAGGGACTTCCTGATCCCATGGGGTTTTGTAGATGGTCTTGATGTTGTCGCCTTCGCCATAGCAAGCCGGCCAGTTAATGCAGCGTTTTGTGGGACTCTTGTGCTCGCACTGCTTGCTGAGCCACTGCTCTCCGCATTCTGTGCACTCGTTGACTGGAGCGTACGGCTCACGACTGGATTGGTACACCGTTTGCCATGCTGCTTTCGCGTCAGTGTCACGGCTCCACTGCCAGCGCAGCAAGCAGTTCACGGTCAACCATGCAGTCAACAGCGCCAAACCGACACGTCGGTCAGTCGTCGTTGGACTTTCCAGGAAGCCGAGATTTCGCAAACATAATGTTTCAATAACAAGAAGCACTTGAAAGGTGCATGCGAAGATCATGTACGCATCAGCCATTGTGAAGTACCTCTTGCGAGGTAACCTGTCATTGATGACGTACATGCACGCAAAGACCGCGAGAAGGCATGTGCTCAAATGCCTCAGTCGTCCGCTGACGTCGTCAAGCGGGATGCAGAAGGTACAAAGGCTAAAGACGTTCACCAGAAAGATTAGGAGCAGCACGCCATTCAAGTAGTAGTCACCTGTCATCAGTCGAATCAAAACAGGATACTCAGGCAGTTTTGCTTCGACTACCTGCACCGCACACCAATAACAACCAATCACAAAGTGACATTAAAGATCATCAAAGCCATGGGTTGTCACCTTCCCGTTCCAGGTGATACACAGCGTTCACGCAAGAACGCTGGCTCGGCCATAGCAGGTACCTGCATCAAGCCCGAATTAGGACACAGGCTTAGGCCGACTGCAAGAACGACTTCTTCTGCTGATTTGCGAAGGTGACTGCTTTGAAATATCTCTGGCACGTAGCATCCCCGTATCTTGCTTGTGCAAGCTCTGTCACCAATGGAACATGCTGCTTCCTTGAAAGTGGTCCCGAGAAACGCATATCTGAAGCACACGCAATACTCTGAAAAGTCGCTTCCCACCTGTCCAGGTGACGTGCATAAACAGTGCTGCCATCCAGCTGCCACAAACCGCACATCTGACGAATGTCCTTCTCGCCCTTGAGCACGACGAACCTTACATTCACATGCATTCAACGATCGACGGCAACCTGTTTAACTTTCGCGGTCTATGGAAGAATCCTGTTGAAACCATTGACTGTGTCGGCTGGTCAAGCTGCTGAAGCTGTTCAACAGGCTTTTCGGCTGTCAACCTGATCCTGACATGGACGCTGGGGACTCACAAAATGTTGATTTTGTCTCTCTCGTGTGCGCCTATTGCCCTCTCTCCATTCGCGGTTCGATCGTCTGGTGTTTCCCTGCTCGCTGCGTCGGTTGGCATTCGGTCAAAGCTGTGCACGGGCAAACTGAAAGCGGGGAGCTCGTTGGCAGATGTTGCAAGCCACCCGCAGCAAGCGCACTCAGGTTTCCTACAGCTTTGCACGAACTCTGGGCGTTTACAGATCGATACGAAGTCTCGGCAATTCAGCTGGGTCGTACACTTGCTTGCCTCCCAGCTGTAACCCCCCGCTGGCCGGTCCTGCAAAGTTGCCGGTCTCGTGGAAAGCGTCGCAGGTCCATTGTCTCTTGCAGCTTTGCATCGAAGCGGATGCGATAGGAAGTGAAGCCGCCTAATTCGTCGCACCAAAGGAGCCTCCGGGTCTCCACGGTCGCGTCGGCTCCGTGCTTCAGGTTGAGGATGGTGTAGGAGGGAAAGAAATACTCGTTCCAGTCTGGATCCTGGATTCCGAAATACTCACCATTGCGAAATGTTTGGACTCGCCGTGTGGGGTCGGATAAGTCGATAAACTCGACGTCCCCATTAGCATACATCTTCGTGATCACGACGTCGAGCTTGCGCAAATGAAGATCTGAGGTGCCCGGCGTTGCTCGAACACTTATCCGAGACTTGAAGTTCTTGAGGTCGGGATCCAGCCAACCCAGTTTCATCACAAACACCATGTGGAACCTCGGGTACTGCATCAGGCTTCCAGACGTCTCAACGGAAGACGCCTGTGGCTACTGCTGCTCTGATATCCACAGCTGCTCCTACTACTCCTGCTATTTCGGAGTGCTGTTTGTGAAGCCAGTAGCATTGATGTTGTTCGGATCGCTAGCGTGAGAATTCACTGCCAACAACGGAAGCATGATGTGGAGCATTGAAAGGATAGGCACTACTGAAAAAATTGAATGAAGTTCTCTGCGAAGCACTCGGGGAAACGATTGTGACTTCCAATACGATCGCTCCGAAAGGGGATGACAACTCCGTGGTGAAATCCGGCAGAATCTCATGTACATGTCGCCTACGGCTCAAGATCGATCTTGATGAACTCCTACCCGGTGCCACGAGTCAACGAGTATTGTCATGTCGGGTATTGCCAATGCGATGTGCGGTGCCACTCTCTGCCATTTCCCCCAAGGTCCGGTGCACGCGAAGCGACGGTCCGCGTGAAGTCGGAGCGGGGGGTGCAAGGGCTCCTCGTCCACCGAGGAGAATGACGAAGCATCTGAGCTTGAGTGATCCAGGCGGCTTTGCGCAGCATGTTCGACCAGTGCTGCCTCTTCATCCGAGCAGACCTCAATAGGGTCCGCTTGTCCTGGGCCGGGACTTCCGCATTACTGGGCCTCGCGGCAGTGCGAATGGGGCCTCTGGCATCAGCGCCTGGCCGCCCTGTGCTATGCTTCGTTCTGCTCTCCAGCCCTCGCACATTGCATCGATAATGCTGTGTTGTACGTCTATGCTGGCAAGAGGTCTTTGCATCTGTAAAGCTCATCTGAATCTCTGTGATGACCCTGCGTGAGGCTGTGCTCCTTCCAGAGCCTGAGCTGAGCTGCTCCTGCCAGACCCGTTCACTTCATGCTGTGCAGGGTGAGTTGGCTCGCCTCATGCTTTTCCAAACCCTGGCCAGGGTGGGAGCCAGGGCAGCATAGCAGCCTAGCGCAATGCCAGCATTGCAGTGCAGTACGAGGCCGGTGCAAGCTCAGGGAGCGCCTTGAGCTCCGGTGCTGCGCTAAACCAAAGGTAGTCTATAATATCGCCGGGGCCCCAAAAGTCATGGATGGAGGTGTGCAAGGCGGCCAACCAATGCAACACCCAAGACGATGCGGTGCTGCGGCCGGTGAGACCCGCTACAGTGGCGGCGAACGGTTGGCCTTTGTGAGTGGTTGTCGTGGCGTAGCATATCCCGTGCATCGCGTGCCGGCTCAGGGACAAAGAGTCGTAGTCGATGCGTTGCAAGTCCCCAAATCGGAGGCAAGCGTGGATCGCCAGGAGCATGGCTCCCGAAATAAGTTTAGTCGTTAGCGGTGCGTTAGGTGCAGACGCGCAGTTCCCAGGCAGCAATCAAGCACCACGGGATAGGCAGGGCCTCGCGACGATCCCGTGCTGTGCCGCGCTGGGAGTATGCTTTTATCACTGGGTTCTCCATGATGAATGCAAGGCTGTGCCACTGTGCACACTTGGTGGCCCACTTGAAGCTTTGAGAGAAGAACCGGGCGACGTCTGGTGCATTTCACGGTCCTGACTGTGTGAAGCTCTGGCTGCTGCCAGGAAGTCAAGCGAGATGTGCAAAGATACCGATGCGAATGCCGTGCCTGAGCTGCCCAAAAAGCACAAGAAGACCGACACAACGCGCAGGTATCTTTCCAGGGTGCTGGGCCTATAAGAGGCAATCACGGCAAGACAGTGCTGCATCGGTTCTTTGCAGGGCTGAAGCGAGACCCAAAGCAGCGAGGCCGAGGCCAGCTTCATAAGAATCTGGCACCAAGCAGTGCCACAAGCTTGCATTCGCATTTCTGAGCGTGCCCGAGTAGAAGAAGAGTGCACATGTTGCGATTTTGGGGGCCTAAGTAGTGGTTCTGCTGGGCGGCTCACCTCAAACACGGGAACCAAGGCCCCGTGTGACTTACGTGGCGGAGCAGGGGGCTTAGATGCAGAGTGCAGGCGCGAGGCGGAGGCGGAGGTAGAGGTACCGGCAGGCCTCCTCCAATGGGCGGTGCAGTTGAAGGTCTTAACCTCTTGGTGGGAGGAGGCGGTGCCAGCCCTTCTCCACGCCTTTCTCGAGGAAAGAAAGCCCCAGTACTGGGCGATGTCCCGGTTTTGTGCTGGGGGTTTTGCGGGCTCGGGGCCTCTGGGCCGCGGGCCGTGCTCCTTTAACCTCCAAGCAAAGGCCGGTGCCTTGGGCTTGGGGGCAGGCTTATGCGCCTCAAGCAGAGACCAACTCGAGATGGAGTCGTCCCGCGGGGAGGTGCTGAGCCTGTTCAAAAAACCGTGCAAGCCAGACAAAGGCGGTGCCGCCTGCGGTTCCGGAGGAAGCTCTGCTTCCTCTATGTTGATGATTTCCTGACGCCTCTCGGCTGCTTGAAGTG